TGCAGAAGAATGGATACACTTCGAGGGACATCAACCAGGCCATCAAGCAGCGAAAGCAGAAAGAGGACACGGTAAGTACAAAACCACTTGGATTTGTGGAATGTTTTCCAGCGTCTTCCCATTCCTAATCTCCACTGCTCTCCTTCCACAGATTTTCTCAATTTCTTTCTTTCGTCTTCTTATCAATTCCCTCGCTCCAGCTGATCCAGATCGCTTCCAGTCTAGGATCTATTTGGGATATTTTTTGTGTCCAGGATTCCGTCATTCCTAATTGTTACTTCCATTTTTCTAAAAGAACAGGGATCGTTCTATCATTGTTTAAGTCCCTGGTTTAACTCTGCTATTAAGTTGCCGTATACAGTTTTAGTCGCTCTTATTAATGTTAAGAATTTTATCCATGTTGCAAGTTGGGAATATATTAAAAATTTATACCAAAAAGATATACTAGAAAAAACTTCTTTAGCTTGCTTTTATTTAAATATATATCGAGACTAGTTTCGAGGTTACACCCTCATCTTCAGTCGAAACTAGCAAAGACGAAAAAACGAAAAACACATTAAAATATTAAAATAAAACAGTTTAAAAAACTTACAGTCAAAATTTTCAAAGCGATTTATACATGAAAAGCGAAAAACTCAAACGAAAAAACATTATCTCGAAGAAAACTTCTTTAGAAGGTATGAACACGTTAAAATTGAAAAATAAATAATCACAATAAAAACATTCACAATATAACTCAAAATGTAAAATAAACAAACGACATCAAAATATATTAAAAATTTTTGTCAAAAACGAAAAACGAAAAGATGTCGACGGTGAGACGAGAACAAAGGAACTGGGAAAAAGACTTGAGGGGGTTTTAAACCTGCATTGAACTACCCGGACAAATAAACTTGTTATATAATTGTTTTATGATCTCTCAGAGACATAAAAATAGGTTGTATTATACAATTGAAGTTGATCATTTAATAATTCGCAGTTATTGTTATTTTTGTGTTTGTTAATTTCCAAAATTTCGAAAATAATTCCAATGTATTCAAACATCACATTGAAATAGGCCACAAGATAGACTATAATAACACTAAACTTCTACATAAATGTGAAAAAGGTTATAGGCTAGATCTGCTCGAAATTCTTTTCGCGCTCAAGTCTTTTTCCCAGTTCCTTTGTTCTCGTCTCACCGTCGACATCTTTTCGTTTTTCGTTTTTCACAAAAATTTTTAATATATTTTGATGTCGTTTGTTTATTTTACATTTTGAGTTATATTGTGAATGTTTTTATTGTGATTATTTATTTTTCAATTTTAACGTGTTCATACCTTCTAAAGAAGTTTTCTTCGAGATAATGTTTTTTCGTTTGAGTTTTTCGCTTTCCATGTATAAATCGCTTTGAAAAAAAAATTTTTGACTGTAAGTTTTTTAAACTGTTTTATTTTAATATTTTAATGTGTTTTTCGTTTTTTCGTCTTTGCTAATTTCGACTGAAGATGAGGGTGTAACCTCGAAACTAGTCTCGATATATATTTAAATAAAAGCAAGCTAAAGAAGTTTTTTCTAGTATATCTTTTTGGTATAAATTCTTATTAATGTTGTTCCTATGTTAGTCTTTTCCAAAGCCATCTAGAGTTTATTATACGATGTGTACATAAACTAAGGAAAAGAGGCTTGGACATCTATGTTGTCTTTTTTAACGCGCATTTTTTGAGATAAAATTAAAATGTACAGGTGTCCCAAAATTGAGATACGATCCCTAAGTTGACATTTGTTGCATTTATGTTGTCTTTGAAAAAAAATGGCTGTTAAAAAAATACCAATACTATTTTATTTTAGGTAAAAGATAACATGCTTTTATCTTAACATTGCAGGGATGTTTAACAACACAGTACTACGAGGGTCTTGCAAGAGTTGTGCTTGACAGAAAAATGGAATTAAACTATAACACTGAGAAATTACACGTTTTGAACCGTCATGTGGTTGTACGGGATGCTTTCTGATGATATTATATGCTGATGATAGCAAGACAGCTTCAAAAAGGTAAGGGGAGCGGCAACAAGAAGCAAACGTAGAATTGCACGAGAAAACATGTAAACGGAATGAAAAGTCCTCTTAAAATGATCGTAAAGGAACATGAATAAAGATAATCAATGAATTGTTCCCACCGAACTTGCGAAGATGGGTTAGGAAATCTGTAGGGTAGTAACAAAAGAAAAAGTAATCAGGCTGGCATAAAACTTGAAAAATAATAAAATAGAAGTTAATAAAGAACCAACAAAGTCGGCTGAAACGTCCCATCTGCATTCTAAACTGTTTTCGTATGTGAATACTAAGTACAATCGTTAGAAACAAAAGAAGATACTTATAACTTTAGGCTAACGAAATTTTTCTGGTTCTGCATCTTGAATAGGACAATGCCACAAACATGTTTTTATCACAATGTACGTGATAAGAGATGAGAAATACAAGACAAATAGATGAAAGTACAAGGCATCGAGGACAGGTTAAAAAGGAAAATGATTGAGATGTTCTAAAGTTGGACTTTAAGATAACCAATGTGTAATAAATAAGGCGCAAAAAACTGTTAAAAGATACTCAAAATCATAGGATTGGTGCAAATATACTGTTAGTTATGGTATGTTTGTAAAGCGAGAAAAGATTTTAGATGGTTTTAGATGAGAACATAAAATCAGTGAGAATATTATCAAAGACTGGAAAGACAGATGGAGGAAACATGTGGAAAGAGGAACATGGACAAAAAAGTCCGTGTTTGACCAGAATTGTAATTTCAGGTTGTAACATGAGTGATTTCGTCTTCTTCTTACTTTAAGACATTGGTCTTATTTCTTAACTATTCATAGCCTATACTAGGAAGTTGAGCTCCCATCATTGACTCATCATTCTTGGTAGTCTTGATCCTTCCATATATTCAACATAGTCTTTCCATTACCATCTTCTTTTGCAGGCGCATCTCACAATGATATTCTTAGTTCTTTTATGATCCCAAAAGATTTATATTGTTAATAAGTTGACATATACTTACTTTGTGCCGTATTGTATCTTTCAGGTAACCTGATATCATCAAACCTCCTTACGTTTGAGCTATAAGCTCTTGACTGAAGAATAGCGCATTTCAGTCCTTCTGTCATATCTTTTTCCTCTTGCATGAAATAAAATGAAAGTTGGGTTGGGGTTCATATTGATACCTGTACAACAGAACATCCTCCATGACGAAGTCCTCAGAATGGGAAGGGAATCTCTTATTATCATAGTAGTGTCTGCTAATGATTGACATTAATTATAAAAGGAAATAGCAATATTGATTATAAAAGAAAGTAGCGAACCAGATTATATTATTGGGATAAAGCCCAATATGCGGTTGAGTTATGAAACTTTCGAAAAAGAGAAACCAGTAAGAAGATTATCTAGGAGTGGAAAGAGAGATGGAGGAAAATTGTGGAAAGAGGAACATTGACAAAAAAATCCTTCCGGATTGTGATTCCTGATTGTAACGTAAGTGATTTCTTCTTCTTCTTATTTCAAAACATTGCTCTTATTTCTTCATTATTCATAGCCTGTACAGGGAAGTTGAGTTCTCATCATTGACTATCCCTGATAGTCTTGATGCTTCCACATATTCAACATAGTGTCACCTTCTGTTTCAAGCCCATATCACAATGTCCTAGATATCGCACATCTTTCTTAATAACCTTAGTGTCTTCTCCGCTGAGAATTCTTTTGCCGTAGCATTTGCTGCTCGTGTCTCTACCGCGTATGTCATAATAGATCTTACATTAGTGACATATACATATTTTTCTATATTCTGTCCTTCAGGTAACCTGATATCAAACTTCCTTGCGTTGTTTGAACTATAACTTCTTGGAGATTCTTGCTGCTCATAATATTGTCGCCAACATACTTAAAACTTAGAGAACGAGTTTCTGGCAAGAAAAAATGATGGGGGACTGAAGAATAAAATAATTGATTATAAAGGAAAGTTGTGAACAAGAAGTGAATAAAGTCCGATATGTGGTTAGATCCTTATGCATTAGAAAAGTTGTTAAGATAAATGTTTGGAAGAGGAAAGATTACATATGGTGACATAGGTAGCCGTGTACCTAGATTTTTTGTTATTGCAGGGAATCTTTATAAGCGTTTGTGGTCACAACCAACGGTTCCAGTACATTTTAATTAGCTTTATATATACTTGCTCGCGTTTGGAGACATTCTGTAAGGATACTTTCCGTTGTTGGCAGATCTGACATNAGTGTGTCTGTGTACAACTGAAAATGAATTAATAATATAATAATTGATGTGTGAATATGAATTTTTTATTTACATCGTAGAGTGGATCCCCTGAAATGTTGGTGTCATTGGGAAAATAAAATTCTTTTAATTTGGCTGCAATAGTCATAGCGAAGTGAGAGCCTCTATCCAAACGCATATTATAAGGAATGAACTCTTCTAAATTATTTCCACGTGGTACCGCTCCAGGTAAATACCCACAAACTAATCCTTCTTTTGAGTTATAACCCATTAAAATTGGAACTTTATTATATTTCCCTTGTATCAATAAATCGATTGGATCTTCACTCAAAAATGCGTTTTTTTTTGATTTTTCAACAACCGGGGCAATATATCTTAAAGTGTCACATTGAATTGTATCTCTCATTGATAGTTGAGCGGTTAGTAAATCTTCAACGGGCATTTTTAACAACACTGTTAACATTTCATTTTCATCACTTGGATCTATGTCTAAATAGTGACAAAACTCCATCCCTAATGGTTTCCCTTTTGTCCAAGGATCCATAACGGTTCCACTTTGCATGATGGCTTTATGAAAAAGCCCTTTAGCCATTGGGGACATTATTAAATAATGAACGCAAGCCCCTCCGGCACTTTCACCAAAAATTGTTACATTTCCAGGATCACCACCGAAATTTTTTATGTTCTCTTGAACCCATTTTAAAGCCATAACTTGATCTTTCATACCAGCGTTGCCTGGTATCTTTAAATTAGGATCTTTTAATGATAAAAATCCTAAAAGATAAATTTAGATAAATATCTCATTAAATGAATATTTTTGTTTACCTAATACTCCCAATCTATAAGCGATTGTTACAAGAACAACATTTTGGCT